TTGCATATAGTCGATGCACATCCGTAGAGATCTGCCTTTCTTTTTCACAAAGTGCGCCCTAAGGTGATATGCTTGGTCTGATAAAATCCTTGTCAGTAGGTCATGTAACTTTTTTATTTAGTTCTCTTTGCTTCACTAGTTCGATACAATATGGGGTTATTGATATAACTTGTGTCTAGTGCCAAGTCGTTGAAAAATTTATTTCTCGTACTCGGGTTAGTCCTAGTAAACACTTAGAAATACATCAAAGAATTCTCTCATTATTATTACTTTTATTTTCAAACTAAGTTTCACATCTCTTGGATCCCTTTACGGAAGTACGAGACACTAACCACTCTTATTCAATAATTATAGAGCCTTCTTAAATGTTATAAGCTCGACTATCACTGGGATATGATTCCTTTTTCTTTTCACAATTAGGTTTGCTAGATATGTCAATCTAACTACCTTCGCATGGTAATAAAAGGTAACGTGGTAACCAATCATACATATAAGCACTTCAAAATCGACAAGGTCAAGTACAATTTGGCTTGATAGGATATAATCTCTCTCTCAACTTGAATCTGATAAGCTTAATACATAGTTTCAACTATACGATATTCTTTTATAAAAGTAGCAACTATTAAAGGATCTCATAATATCTCAAGATTTCATTTATCTAACTCTTAGTCCCCTATAAGAAAAATTCATACTACGAGATTTCCTAATCTCTACCTTTTTAAATGAATTCTTAGTTGCATGACAGTCACATCCAGTTCTTAATTTTTTTTCTTTGCAAGTTCAACGTCACATAATAGGTCAGAGTATTCGTGTGGGGTTATTGCCTTTATTCAAACGGTTAACCAACCATTCGACAAGCTTCTAAACCTACGACGTCATGTACCCAGTCAGCTGATAAAGCCTAGTGTCACATATCAGTATATTCATCGTCTGAATTAATTTCTTAAGTACTTATTATCAGGTTTGCGCTTTCAACTATCGAGAAAGAAGCGATTCATAAAAAGTTTAGTACACTTATTTCTAAGTCAATTGTGCCGCTCCTATCCGCGTCCCTAACAGTGTAGTTCCATTTCACATATACGTCATGTACTCCAATCTACAAGTTATTAGATCCACAGACCTATCGTTAGAACATTATAAAGCTCATAATGCTTTAAGTATTTCGCCAAAAACCTCTAAAGATGATTAAATCGTTTTAAACAGTAAACTTTCTGGTTTCAATTTTTTTGGAACTCTATTAAGGATACTCATATGTTCTCAATATCTTCTAGGTAATTAAGGCCTCTAGAGCCCTATTATATTGCTCATTCTTCTCATCTCTATCTATTATATCCATCACACTAGCATTTTTTTTCCTCTACGTAGAGAATTACCTCAATAATAACAATCTCCTAGTTATGGTAGTGGACTAGTACTTACATCAAGAGTGAATTTTATTTCTCGTCTTGTGGCAGTATGACACTCTATTATGGTGGCACGGACCTTCCTTGGCCCTTTGTCTCTTCCCCTTAGCTAGGAGAGACGACTACTAAAGGCAGCATTTTATGTCCCTGAACCTCGAGCCTTTACTGATATCAGACGATCAAGCTCGAGCCAAATGTTAACAAGATAAACAGTGTTAGATTCATCTATTTGATCCTAGTCGCCACACACCTACGAAGGAACAAGAAAGAAAGGCCAACATATCCTATCACGCCCTCGCAGAATCACGATTATGGGAATGGCCGGCTATATAATCATAATTGAGATTCTACTACCGACGTGTGCTCCATTAGTCACAAGAATAACCTAGTGCTTTGATACCAACTTTGTCACGATCCAATTTAGGGCCATGACCGGCACTCTGGGGTAGGATCCCAAAGAAAGCCTTAACGGAATTTACAAAAAAAAATCGGACAAAGTTTTCCTTGTTTTAGGACTATCCAAAAATTTACCCTGTCTCAAAAATCGACAACAAAATCAACCTATGTCAATCAAAGTATTTCATAATCCTCATCAACTAATCAAATAACTATCCACCACTATTAAGCCATCAATTGTAACACAATTATACTAAAGTTATCTCCAAAATACGATAAGGAAATCTAATACTAGTCGTAGTTCTAAAATAATAAAGGAATACTCATGACACTAAAAATGACTATGGAGCAACTCTAAGATTTTTAAAGAAAAGATCATAACAAACGAATAAACTCTTCACCCACGCGAACAAGTGCGTGGCTCACCAGGAACTGTCAACTCGTGTACTCTAATTAACGAAATTCTCGCTAGCGTCAACTGCTGTCTCTGTAAAAACAAATAGCGGGGAGTGAGTCGCTAGCTCAGTGAGTAATAATACTTAACCACAATCGTTTTTAATTGGGGACAAGTCAGAAAACATGCTAGTATATCAACAGAAAATATCATAAGAATGCCCTTTCAAAAACGATAAATATGATCAGTATATTCATGTGTTTCCTGTAAGAGAAGTCAATTTAATAAATTGGTAATAAACTCGGTACATATTGTATCATAGCAAATCTTTATGTTTGGGAGGTTTCCAAGAAAGAATCATGTAATCTGTATCACTGTGTGGACCCTTCGTAAAAGGAGTCAAATATAACTGTAGGTCCCTACTCGAGGGAAAACTGTAACTGTATGCTAGTTATACCTTCCCACTAGCGAGGGCTATAACTGTAATCGGTAATCTGTAAATACAGGGTGCACCAGGTCTAACGAACCCGTCGTTAGCTACGGGATCCTTCAAAGTCTCCTCCCATTTATACTCTTTCTTGTAAACAGTAAATACTCGTACAAAAGCATTTTCAAAATAATAAAGGGCATATCGTTTCTTATCAAATCTTGTAATTTTATTTCGGTAACGGTAATCATGTCTCAAGTAACAATAAAACATGTCTAGTAACAGTGAGAATAATTCAAATAACTGTAACATCTCAAGTAACGGTAAAACATATCTAGTAACGGTAAAAACGTTTAGATTAACTAGTAAACATCTCAAGTAAACTGTTCGGTACCATATCAAGTAAAGGACTTGTCCCACATGTAAGTTCAAAGCATCGGTAACACATTTATTTTTAAAATCATATATAAACCATGCAGGTTATGAAAACACAAATTGTGGTAAGATTATTACTCACCCTAACAAAGTTACCAATATCACCATTTAGCCACGAATTTGGATATACCCACTAGAGGAACAAAAATACCTTGAACTCGAATTAACATTGGTTGAAAGTGGCTCTTTTGCGGCACTAGATCGCTAGCCACTACAAAAACCTTCTTGATTTCCTCTTTATAGTTGTGAATTTGCTGCCAACAACTTTGTTGTTCCTGAGTTTCTACCTTTTTTGTTTCGTTGGAGAAATAGTTTTATTTTCATTATCTCAGTACTGCGCCGAAGCTAAGCTTCCTTTCTCGTTTTTGCAAGGGCTCTAAAGCTTCATTCTATTCCCTGTAGGTCATAACCTGGTGGTTTCGGCCCATTAATTTGTGTCTATCCATTTTTTTTTCTTTTACTTTTTTGTTTGTTTTTGCCTATTTTTTTTGGGTAATGACTGAAATACCTATATTTTATATGGGGTATTACAATTTATCATCTCTAACTTTTCTTATTAAGACACAATGATTATTTATAATTCCAATGAATAAACAATGAACATTACGATCGTTTAATTAAAAAAAATATTACAATGAATCATACATCATACATTGTACTTTATGTAAATGAGTTTATTTTTTATATTAATTCAATAGATATGATACATAAGTTAGTAAGATACAACGATTTTTGATGTAATCAAAATTAACCTTCATTGAATCTCGAAAACACTCTTTAAGTTAATAAATATTAATTTATCGATTAAATAATTACTCTACAAAATAATAATATTTCATGGTCCCGACAATATTAATTTGGAGAGGTACTACTGTAAATAAAACAAGTACTCTTTCTGTTTAAAAAAGAATGAACCTGTTTTCTTTTAGTTAGTTTAAAAAAGAATGAACCTTTTCTATATTTGAAAATAATTTAACTTTAAAATTTCTCTTTCACCCTTAATAAGATAATGTATAGCTACACAAATATTTATGAATTATTTTAGATCACAAGTTTAAAAAATCTTCTCTTTTTTCTTAAACTCCATACCCAATCAAATAAGTTAAAGCAAATTGAAACGGGGAAGGAGGGGAATATTACTCCTATGAGTTAGTTTATGTATTATTTTCAATATGGTAAAAGATGGAATAACTAAAATCAGAATAATAACTAAATCTTGCATAACTATTCTTATATTACTTATTCATGCATAATTAATTTTTGCATTACTAATATTGATATAACTCTAACCAGCAACCAGACATCCCTTAATGTTTACTACTTTATATATATGCATATTGTTTACTAAAATCATGGTCAAATAATGTGTATTTAATTATTTTATTTTTTTTAATTTATGCAAATATGGAGCGGGGTAAAAGTATTTTCGGTTTGGTCGTATCTTGATACACCAAACTGTACCATGAGGCCTTTGTCTCACTAGATTATTATCACCATTTCCAAACTATAAGACTACACATAATTTATTCAGAAACATTACATCTGTCAAAACACCCCCTCCCATTTAAAACAAAAAAGAAAAAGAAAAAAAAAAATATGGAACGAAGGAAACAGAGAGATTCTCAACCACTTTTGCCCCCTACCCATGCTTTTTACCTGTCTAAAAACAATCTGTACTCCCACCATGTCAGCTTCCAGACAAATTATTAAAATATGAATACTACAATAAACTAAAGAACAAAAAAAAATTCAAATATGGACCATTCTACTTAGATCTTTAAACCCCATATCATAATCTATAAGCTTTCATTATGTGAACCTCATAACAGTAATTCTGAAGCTATAAACAGTGACTGCTCTTTAAAAGTTGCTTTCATGACTATTTCTACTACTAAAAACAATGCATGTAAAACAAAGTTTTCTATTTTTATGGTAAGCTCAATGCTTTATTCTCTTGTTTGTCTAGCCCTTTTCAATGCTCTGCGTTGTGTTATCTTCTTTTTTATCAAAGTTTATTGTCATTTTGTTGTTTGTCTTCTTTAATTTCTGTTCCTGATAATTCCTTCTGTTTCATTGGGTTTTAAGGAGTTTCCATAGGATGCTTTTTTCTATGCTTTTCTGTTCTGCATATTTGTAATCTTTTAGAAGTTTCAGATTAGCTTTCCCTTTTCTGATAAGAATCTTTTTGCCACATGAATTCTTGATCTGATCAATATTGCATTTACCCTTTGCTTTTCAAATTTAGCTTTTTTCTTGAATGCTTTTTCTTGATATTTGGCATTTTTCAGCTCAGGAGGTGAAAGGGTATTAATAAAGATTTAATCTTTTGAAAGAAGTGGACCTAAAGTAAGATTCTTGGAGAGAAAAGTGTGAAAATTTTGAAATTTGTTGCTTTTTGGAGAAGATGTTGTGTGCTTGTTCAGGAGAGCAATTCAAATTTGATGAGCCACCACCAGAGTCTCCAGAGTCATTGGCCACTAGGGATTTCTCAGCCAGTGGTCTTTCTTCTAGAACTGGAACAGTAGATTGGGATTCAAAACTTGAAGATGCTCAAGTTGATGAAGTTGAATCAACCTTAAAAGAGGCACTTTCCTTGAATTATGAGGTAATAGCCCTACACAAATCTTCTACTTTTATTGACATATTAGACCTGATGTCTCTTAGTGTTACCAGTAGTACTAGTACTATTTTGGTATTTTTCTTATTCCTCGTTCTTTATTATTACATGTTGTGTCATTTGCTCCTATTCCATTGTTGTTGCCACTGTTTGTTACTTTATTTTCACTGTTCCTTGAGCAGAGGGTCTATCTGAAACAACCTCTCTACCTTCACAAAGTAGGGGTAAGGTCTGCCTACACATCACCCTCCCTAGACACCACTATTGAATTACAACGGGTTTTTTGTTGTTGTTGCATTGGAATGGAAGTATTGATGATTCATATAGCCGACCCTATCTAGTTTGGAATTGAGGGATAGATGATTGATTTTGCTCTTTTGTTGTTGGGCTGCAGGAAGCAAGAGCATTGCTGGGGAGGCTAGAATACCAAAGAGGGAATTTTGATGCTGCCCTTCATGTGTTTCAGGGAATAGATATTAGAACCCTGTCCTCGAGAATGTCTAAGGCCATCGCAGAGAGAACGAGACCCTTAAAACCGCGCTTCAAAAATGATATTGTGCCTGCTGGTGTGATGTCACTGCATTCAGTGAGTCTACTTCTTGAAGCAATTTTACTGAAAGCTAAATCTTTAGAGGAGCTCAGCCGAATCAAAGGTAAAGCCATTGCTTCTGATGCTTTTTGTTGTACTATCGCTTTAGCGACAAAGTTTAAAAGATGAAAATATTTTGTCATATCTTAGTTCTATAGGCCATTATCGCTTTTGCACTACCTGGTGTTTGATAAACGCTATGTTAATTGGTTGAAATAGTGTGTTGTCTGCATTTTAGTGCTGATGTATTTGTATGGTTTAACTCCTTAGATGCTGCTAAGGAGTGCAAAATGATATTGGATGTTGTCGATTCAGCATTGCCGAATGGAATACAAGAGGGGATATCTGAAGACTGTAAGTTGCTGGAGATGTTTCATAAAGCGCTTGAGTTACTTCCAAAGTTATGGATACAAGCAGGGTATTTGGATGAAGCTGTGCTTGCATATCGAAGGGCTCTAGTCAAGCCATGGAATTTGGATTCCCAAAGATTGGCCTGTATACAAAAAGACTTAGCTGCCACTTTACTCTTTGGAGGGGTTGAAGTTGAGGTTCCTGCTCAATATCAAGTGTGGGGTTCAACAGCCCCAAAAAATAACTTGGAGGAATCAATTCTCTTGTTGTTTGTACTCATGAGCAAAATGCTAAATGGTCAAATAGAATGGGACTCTGAAATAATGAATCATCTGACTTTCGCGCTGACAATATCCGGCCACTCTGAGTCTGTTGCAGATCATATTGAGCAGGTTTTACCAGGAATCTATACCCGAGCGGAGAGATGGTATCTTCTTGCGCTTTGTTACAGTGCTGCAGGTCAGAATGATACAGCGTTGAATCTTGTCAAGAAAATTTCTGGATGTTCAGAAGCCAACCAAGAACCTCATATTCCGTCTCTCTTGTTGGGAGCAAAGCTGTGTTCTCAGGATCTGCAGCAAGCCCATGAGGGGGTAAATTTTGCTCGTGCAGCACTTAACTTGGCGAAAAATCAGAACGAACATTTCCTTGTCCAGGCTCATAAACTTCTTGGGATCTGCTACGGAAATGCTGCAAGAGTTTCCATTTCAGATTTTGAAAGAAATTTCTGCCAAAGAGAAGCAATGGCTGCTTTAAACTCCGCTTTTGCAACTTGCAAGGAGGATCCAGAAATTTTGTTTAGTCTAGGATTGGAAAATGCCATCCAAAGAAATTTGACTCCAGCTTTTAATAATGGAATGCAGTACTCAGAAATGGTGGCTGGAAGCACGACAAGAGCTTGGAAATTGTTGGCTTTAGTTGTTTCTGCAGAACAAAGATTCAAAGATGCGGAAGCCATAGTTGATCTTGCTTTCGATGAGACTGGAAAGGTTGACCAGATGGAATATCTCAGATTAAAAGCTGTCCTGCAAATAGCTCAACAACAGCCCAAGCAAGCCATAGAGACGTACAGGATTCTGCTGGCTTTGATTCAAGCACAAAAGGAATCCACAACAGACGATGAGGTACACAACATGTTTCTAACTTTTTCCTCTAAAGACATTTGAGTATTCAATTCTCCTAAAGCGGTAGAGGATTGAAATCATTTATCTCTTTATATAGCAAAGTTTCCATTCGAATAGGTTATTATTCTGATTATCTGATGCATGAATCCACATAATTGCAAGTGTAGAGTAATTCTGGGAAGGAGATTGGTGACCTTAGTTTCTTTGTTTGGTTCAGGTAACATCTCAGAGAAGATTGGAAGTTGAAGCATGGCTTGATTTATCAAGGTTATACACAGATCTAGAGTCATGGCGTGATGCCGAAATATGTATAAACAAAGCCAAAGCAATTCAATTTTACTGCCCTCGGAATTGGCATGCAACAGGTCTAACATAACTCTGCAAGAAAATATGAAGTTTAGGTGTATTCCCTGTCACTTTCTTATCAGTAACTAACCATGATTCGTTGAATAAATATAGGTGCGCTATTTCAAGCCAAAGGAAGAGATAAGGAAGCACTTGTTGCATTCTCAATTTCTCTATCAATAGAACCAGATTATATCCCCAGTATTGTTTCTACAGCTCAAGTGCTTATGAAGATGGGAGACGACACAGTCCCTATTGCGAGAAGCTTTTTAATGAACGCTCTGCGATTAGAACCCACAAATCATGATGCATGGTTTAACCTTGGAATGCTAGCAAAGATGGAAGGCTCACTACAGCAAGCAGCAGATTTTTTCCAAGCTGCACATGAGTTGAAGCTTTCTGCTCCAGTTCAAAGTTTTGTCTGATAAAGAGTACTAATTTAAGGCAGAAAACAAAAACTTGACTACAGCCTCCATCCAGTATCAGTAAAGCAATCTAGACAAATAGCGAAAGCAAAGAGTGAAGCAATCCAAGAGAGCTCTATAATCTAGTTCTATAGAGTTCTGATAACGAATGGAATAGTATCTAACGATGTTAATATCGCCCACAAATTAATGGACAGGCCTTGGTACCTTGATCTCCAATTCTGCATAGTAGTACTATCACATGCCTTATTTTGCATCAGTGTATATATAACAACTGGTAGGTGTAAGGTCTGCGTACACACTACCCTCCCAAGGCCCCACACGTGGGATTACACTGGGTTTTTTGTTGTTGTTGTTGTTGTATATAACAATTGGAGAACATTTTTGTGCTGGTTTTTGGACCTATTACTCAACTAAATTCACATGATATCTGAATCTCACAGTTCTTTTGCTTCTGTTCACACCCAAAGCACTAAACATTTCCTGTGCAAGTACTTCTTGGCAAATGAAGAGAAAGATATATCTCTCTTATTCTGTGTTTTTCCACCCTTCTATTTGTATTTTCAGGACAAATTTTTCATCAACCTTCACTTGAATAAATAAAATAGAACAATATCTTACTGCAAATTGTAGAGAAAACACTCGAATGTACAGGATGAACAAGTATATCCCGACGTTCATTAAATATTTATACAAATAAAACTGATCATGCTAATTTTTGTAATGACCGAGAAATTTCCGGGATCACAGTTCAAAATTTGGTGGATAATAAGCGTGTTAATGCTAATTTGTATTTTTACTTTTACTCTGTGAATACTTTGGGTGAATGTAGAATGCTTTGCGCACCGGATTGCCTTTGTATGTATTTACCTGTATCATGTAAAGTCATTGACTTCTCTAATTATCTTCTTAGCTTGATAACTAGTTTCATTAACTCCTAATATCATCAACTCCCAACTACTTCCATTCCTTAATGTCTTCGAGTTAATTGTTGATCTAAAATGTTAAATAAACAAAAGAAAGACAAAGCACAGAGAAATAGAAATAGATAATAGAACATCTTTATTGCATTGGAAAACATTTTAAATATTAGCAAATGCCTAATGGAAAACGCTAAAAAAGGATAAAAGCGCCTACTTCTTAATAATTTGATGCACTTGAACATAATATTTGACCCTTAAAAGATTTTTATTAAAAAAAAAATTTATTCCTTCATTCGTTATCTTTTCCTTTTATAAAATTTGAGCTTATTTGAATTTTGGCTCTACACCGCCTAACGTCATCGTATCATTTCATGACTTTGACCTTAGAATTAGAAGTACAAAACGCACAGCCGCAAGTCCAACTCAAAATATCTTCAAGTCTAGCTGAGCTGACCGAAAGCTGACCGGAGACCATGAGCAATAAACCGTTGAACACTCTCCGGCCAACCGAAACCCTAGAACTGGAAAGCGGACTCTCTCTAGTCCCACGTATTAAGCTTCTCTTAACAGTCTACCGCGCCGACAAGTCTGTTTCTCCGATCGACGAATGGAAGTTCAAGCGATCACTGATCGATTACATAAAATCCTCATTCTCCATCACTATTTCCGAAGAAGACCTCGAAATCCGGAAATTCAAAGACCTCAACAAGCGCAAGCGTGAGGAACCGGTGGCTCGTGGCCGCCTTTTTGTTCATGACTTAGGGTTTCTGTTGAAGGTGATTGGTGAAACTGAGGATGATGTGGAGAGAGCTGATAAGAAGTTTCTGGAATGGAGGAGAGGGTTTGTGGAAAAGTTGGATGGAATTGAGTTGAGTTTGGAAGGTACTAAGTTTAAACTGGATATAGCTGTGCCGGTGTCTGATGATTTTGGAGGAATGCGCAAGGAGTGGGAAGAGATTATTGCTTTTGGTGCTCGTGGTTAGTAAATATTTTATATTTTATAGTATTTTGGATATAATGCAGCTGAATTACTAATGTCGGTACACTTACTTTATGTTTAGTTTTTGTTTAGAGATTTGTTTGTTAAAAGAAAATGTAGAAACCCTTTGAAAGAATCCAATGGAGCAGAACAAATTGTGAGGATTCATATAGTTGACCAAATTGTTTGGGGCTGAAGCACAGCAGTAGCTTTTGTTATGGTGCAGCTGAATGCAGCTATAACGTTCTGTGTGCTGTGAATTCTCTTATCGCATTATCACCGCACCCCACCCCTATTTTATTTGTTCAATTGTTTGGAGAAGAGTTGTTTATTGATGTATGCTTACTTGTTCTAGTAGCCGGAGAACAAAAAGCAAGAATAGTGAAGAAACTTGGTTGTATTCATTTTAAATAAGAAGAATAATAGTCTGTTTTCACTGGTCTGTATGACTTTTCTACAATGTAGAAGTCCATCTGCCTGAAAAGTGATCAATGAAATGTGATAGTTAGATAGGAAAATCTGGATATTAAATTTGAAATGAGGAGCTAGGAAGAATACATGCTAAAGTAGAAGACTTTTAAGTTATGTGGTGTAAACAGCAGACCATATGTTTCTGAAGCTGTACATGGAGGGTAAGAAGCTGAAACTGCTAACAACATGAGCTCCCTCAGCCTAATACTTTCAAAGCTTCTGGACGGGTTTTTATTTTGACCAAGCTCAGAATACTTGGTGTTCCTCACTAAATTGTTGGTGTAATCATGCCTGCGTGATATGACACGGCAATGTAAATGGTCCATGCTTTTTTACCAGGTTGGTTCCTTGAAATGATTGTGTCTCCAATTTTCTTCTTTACAGGATATCAGAGGAGTGGAAGGATGCAGCCAGATACAATCGTGTTGAAAGGTATGCCATTGCGATGGTTTGCAGAGACGAGGGTCTCATCCAAGCCCTCAATGCTGGTTACTCACACAATATTTTCTGCGCTTGGAAAGATAAGGTGCGTGCTGTTCCTTGTTTCTTATTATTTATTTGACTGTTTACCAAAGAAAAATTGTTGTCTATTTGACTACTTGTTTGACATTTTGAAATGTTGGTTACCACTCTTATTGGAAGTCATCGCTTGTCACTTACAATGAGCAATATGAAGCAAGAGTTTATCACTTCATGGGTGAAGGCCGTGCATTTTAGAGAAGCGTGTGCTTCACTTCTCTTTTCGCTTTAAGCTTCATGTACCGTGTCGCTCTTTTGCGCTTTTCACTTTTAAAAACATTGTTGGTTGAAGTTGGTCGCTGTCTATTAGTACTTGCAGCTGCTTCCTGTATATTCGCGCACTTAACGTGTCAAGTGCTTTTTTTCTTAGGAGAGTTCTAACCAGCAATATAGATTCCTAACAAAAGTTTTGGAAAGTTTTTTATTCATAGATAGTGGTACCTATCAAAATTTGTTAACAATCAAGTCTCAAATCTCAACTGCATCATAGGAAAGCAGTCATGCAGATAGAAACTATGTGTTGTAGAGAGCTGGAGACTACCTTATTATGCGCTCTCTACTCCCTTTTTTCCTTTCTCTTGAGAAGGTATATTATGCCCTTATTTATCTTCAGTTGCACTTATCCACGAAAAGATGGGAAAGGAAAGAAACTGGCTGGTCTTTCATCGTTGCTTTCCAGATTTTAGCTCTTAAGCTTATCGTGTATTTGTACAAATATTTTCTTGGGTAATGCTATCTTCCTTTATTTTGCTTATCTCATCTTTTTCTTGGATAGGAATCTTCATGTTGCTGAGGATAATAGTATAGGTGACGATGCAGATGAAGGAGACATTGTTTCTGGTCTTCATTGTAAGATTGTAGTGCGGTTTGAGAAGCACAATGACTTCTGTGACGCCTTGAAGGTTTTGTGTGGTCGCTCATTGCAAAAGGTATATTTGTTGGAACATCAGTCTATTGTTTTAACTTTTTCTTATAGTTAGCATCCCTTGGCACTCTGAAGGGAAGCAGTTGCTCTGCCAAAGTTGAAAGAAATGAATTGTTTTTTTACATATGTGAAAAGAAGAAAAATTTGAGGTGTGTCTACATCGTAATTGATGCTCTGGTGAAACATATTGGAGAAATGTACTTTGTAGATTTAGTCTTTCTCATCTTCTTTAGCACACAAAGACGTTTATGAATGTAATATCTAACATGTGTTCGGATATATGTATAAGCAATTAGGCATTACTCAACTACTGCTTTAGTAAGTTTTCATCAAAAAGCATAACACTTTAATAAGTGTTACAAAATTTTGCCGTTCCCTCTGTCTGATTTTATGTGACACACTTTCCTTTTTAGTCTTTCCCAAAAAGAATGACATTTTTCTATACTTAGGGACAATCTGACTTTAAACATCTCATTTTACCCTTAAAGACATGATTTTATAGCCACAAAGTGTCTATGGCATGTTTTAGATCACAACTTTTCTTTTTTAAACCCCATGCTCAATCAAACGTCTTGATATAAAAAATAGGACAGAGGAGTACTTTTGCTTGTGCATATGCATTCGTATTCGTGGTTAACAATCCTTGATGGTGTTGTTGCTCAACCGCCAAAGTAGATCTTATGTACTCCAATTGTAATGACTCATTCTGCTGATTCTTCAATGAAATTGATTTTCATTTGATGCTATTGTTTTTTGGTTAATCACGTGATTGATAATTGTGCAGCAAGGATCACGACTCAGAGCTGATTATGACGTGACTTGGGATAAGGTTGGATTCTTCCAAGATGCTAGACATCAAATAGAAGAAAGAAAGAGAATGCCAGCAAGAGGAGTGGAAGAAAGAGATGAAGTTCATAGACATCACTCGAGAGTCTCTCAATTTAGTTCTGAGGAAGGACGGCGAAAGAGATTCAAGGTCTAATGGACACACTTTTAGATATCCTTCAATTCCTATTTGTTACTATAACAACTGTTATTTATTTCTTCTCTACCTCTTGCTCTTTTTCAAATGTGGCAGAATTGAAAAAGTAATTAAAGTGGCACATCAATTTTGGTAGGAAATTAGATTGAATAAACCTGGCACATCAATTTTGGTAGGAAATTAGATTGAATAAACCTCTTGTTGAATTGCAGGAATAGGGGCAGGACCTTTATGTTTACCTTTGGAGAATTCCCCTGATCTAAGCAGAGACCCGAAGATGATATGTAGTTTTTAAAGGGTCGAGACGTGATAAATTATCTGATTCTATTATGTGGCTCCATTTTAACAGGTAAATTTTCCTTCTACAGAGTCCAAGCTGTACCTTCTCCTGAATTAAAACACTGTGGTCAACTTAATTTATTCTTCGAAAAAGCTCTCAAGCAATTGGCAACTTCTCAAGCAAATGGCAACCCACATGCCCGTCCCTGTTTCTTTGCTATGAACAAGTCAATGCGTTATAATTCTACAGACTTCTGCTATACTGCCACCTTAAAAAGGAAAAAAAGAAAAGACCAGGAGAAATGAATGCACTTATATAATAAGGGAAAAATTGTGCTCAATGGAAGTGGATACACTAAACTAATTTATCGGACGCTGTTGAAAAGTGAAATAGAAGGTAGGAGTTGCTAATGTATGGAAGCTAGTGAAGAAAAAATCACACTTAGAATAGAGACTAATTCCATTGTGTCAAATCTAAGAGAGAGGGATGTTACATGCTAGAGCAGAAAGATCTAGAAAGGAATAACAAAGTTTGAGTCTCTTGTCTTACTAACTCAAGAAAGCTCAAGATCCAACTCCATTTGGCAGTAGTCTTACCATTGTGATTCTGTGAAAAGAATTAAGAGTACGTTCGCTCTTGGAGTTGCATTTATCATAATACTTTATAATAGTATGTTTGGCCAAGCTTTTTCTCAAAAATATTTTTTTCATAGGTACTTTTGGTGCGAAGCAGTTTGTGTTTGGTTAATTAATTTTAAAAACATTTTTGAGCAGTAAGTAGTGTTTGGCCAAAAGTGTTTTTGGGGAGAATCTTTTTTATGCTTCTTCAAAACTGCTTCTGCTTCTACTAAAAAGCACTTTTGTTTTTCTTCTAAAAGCTTGGCCAAACATTTCAACTTTGAAAAAAAAGTGCTTTTGGATTTGGAGAAGCTTGGCCGAACATGCTACAAGAGAGGTTAAGTAGAAGTTAATGGAGTAACATTAATTGGGTTTGTGGGCTCCATGGGCATATGAGGCATTTTAACCTTATCTTCCCTGCACAATTGCAACACTTTAATCCAGTGGCCGACTATGCTTATTGAACAACATTATTAGAGGATAGGTTCATCTAATTTCTTTCTTGTTGGCTCAACAAGAAGTCGCCAAGTGTATAGCCAACCATATTTCTTCTTTATATGTGCTGGTGAGAGACTCGAGTAATTTTTATTAGTACACTCTGTTTTGGAAACTCCAGTTCACATCACTTGTTTAGCTGACCTTTCCACCAAGGATATATGTTAGAAGGAATTTGCTCCGGTTAAGATCCCTTTTTTTCTAGAGTTCTGTAGTAAAAGAAATATATAGAATTAAAGTAGTAATTTACAAAATAACTTTTAAAAATTAACTTCTATCAAGTTTTACTAAAATTAGCAATCTGTTTATTAAAACGTGGAATCAATGTGGTAGATTTTGAATTTCTTTTTTCTGATTGGATTGCTAATTTTAAAGTTGTGGAGTAAAACTTGATAGAAGTTAATTTTAAAAATTATTTTGTAAACTTGCTATTCCAATTCTATAAGTTTCAGAGGACTAGGCGTTGTGCTTCACAAACTTAGTGTCACTGAAAGGGTCCTGAAAATGGCTGCTCTTCAGTTAAGCGACTTACTTGACTTGGAAGCCCAAGATCCAATGTTCTTAGCAGTATACAGCTTGAAGTCAAGCCTTGACCCGATTCCTTTGACGAACTTACGTTTCTATCATTGTGCATTTTATTCAACTTCTGCCTGCTGTTGCTGCTCTTGTTATCTTTCTGCATTGTGTTAAAGGAGAAGGTCAATTTAATGCTGGCCCTTTACAGAGCATCTTTATTTGCTTCTTGTTCTGGTTTAATTCGGTATGGTATCGTACTGTTCCCTAAAGGCTAAGATAAGAACACATCGCTCTTTATGTTGTTTCCAAAGTTGTGGGGTAATGGCAACGCCTTTGCATATCATTTTCAGTTTAGAATGTTGTTGACAACAATATTTACCAAGTGTTTACAAGTCTAGCTGATTGACTAGTTAGATAGTTTATCACAATTGGCTAAGTTGATTGGGCGATTCTCACTTGCTTTCAGTATACGTCTGGTATTAACATGTTCAAAGCTGCTAGTGAAATGCAATGTTAATCACAATCATACAAAATCTCAGAACTGCTTGTATCCGGCTAATAAATACGTACAATTTATCATCATAAACTGCCAAACTCATTTGGCCCTTTTTCTTTTTGGGGTTGGGAGGTTAATCTAAAGAATAAAGTTGAGGCTTAAGGCTATCCACAACCTTTCTGAGATAATGACGCATTGATGTTGTCTGCAATTGCGATTGTCCAAAATTTCTGGTGTAGCCCCTCCCCAACCTAACACATCTAACCAACATTTCTGATTGGAAATTCCTAGCTCCTTTAATATAATTGTTGTGATCCATTTTGTTTATGCAGTCACTCTACTCAAACCAACCCTTAATTGGCTACCCAGTTACCTATTGTTTACACCGGCTATGTTTTTAAAAAAAAAAAGGAAAATTACCAGCTATGTCCATTTATAAGTAGTTCATTACAAAAATTGGCCAATTGATAAAATATTACTAATATTAGCCAAATTAGCCAATTAGCTATTTGTAGTAAAAAAATATCAAATTTTTGCTTTGTTTTGAGTGGGTGTTATTAGAATAGATTGAGCACAACTTAAAGAGCTTGAATCTCAGTTTTGGGATGATTCGGTGAAGTTTTGAGGTGGTTTTAATTGAAAATTCGAAATAAAAGCTGAACATGAAAAAAATGATATGTGTATCACACTATGTATCATTTGTGTATCACATGTGTATCATATTTGTATCAATTGTGTATCACATGTATATCCATGTATACATGTGCGTGAGATACATGCGTGATACATGTTTGATACATGTGTCGCAGAAGATTTTTTTGAACTCGATTTAATTACGAATTTCGATGCAAAACCAGTCCAAATCACCTCCAATCTTCCTCAATTTTTGTATATTGACTTATCTATATATTTTCAATGAATTTCAACTATACCCATTGAAAAAGTTTCTTTTTTGTTTAGATTTTTGGAATATTGTATAGATTTTTGTATTTCATCACCTTATTTGCTACCCCGTCCATGAAATTTCCTTTCCGTCTTGTATCTAATGTTTCTAATCACGCTTAAAAATGTGGAAGGTGATTTTTGCATGTGATTCTTTGAGAGAAAGAATCCTATTATTTGGTTTTTCAATTTTCGTTGGCTAGTTTTGGTAAGTCTATGACTAATGGCTAGAGGTTGGTAAGTTGAGATTTATTTGGGACATTTGTGTAAGTTTCCCAAAAAAAAAACATGTGAGAAAGCCCATCTACATTATTTAATTTGTTTTTTTTTGCAGGATCCTTGTGTGCTTTGGTTTAGCAAACTGATATTTTCACATTGCAAAACTACGATCAGTACAAGTACTGAATTCTCTAAAGCATGCTTAGTTCCTTAACGAAGCAAAATATGTCGTTATTCTCTGAATGAAAACGAAGTATATTTCATAATCTTTTAGTCATTTTCACTTTATTGGTATTCCTTATTTTTTTCTTTCTAACTCGTCAACCAATCTGACTTTAATTGAAACACTAAAAGTAGTTAGTGTATGCCGCGAAGACGTGCGTGGAAGAAATGCAACTGCCTGCAGAAATTTAAATATTTTTGGCACTATATAATGAAAAGAAACATGATGTGATCTTCGAACCGAAGTTTAGGCCGCCAAGCTAATAAAAACTGCAAGATGTGGACAACAATTAAACACCAAAAAAGGGGACCCAAGTCGGATTATAAACAGTAGTGCAGATTTATTAGTGAAAATGAAAATCAAGACTGGTGGCCGCTTACATCAAAAGCTGAGATATTCCATATATACCAAATAGCAATCATCTGTTGTTGAAATTCAGAAAGTTTGTGACGATCACAGAAATTAAAATTCTATTGACATTGGATAAATGTCATTTAGAAAGGTGTGCGCACTTCATGGGTCCGAGGTCTGATAATCATATGAGAGACTTGGCCAATCAGAAAGATTTTACACTCTGTTATCTTGTCAAAGGTCTTTGATTTAATATTACATTATCCATTGGTTCTATTAATTTGTCATGTAGTTACTATTCACCAGGAAGTGATATTGGGATGTAATTTTCATACTCATTGTACTATAATAATTATTCTAACGAAAAGGGTACAGAATGTTCTTTTTCGCACTTATATCTCTATGAAGCCTGGACTTTCTTCTCTATAGGCTTGAATAACAAATCAGATGAGATCTGTCTACCTTTAACCGGAGGTTTGGGTTCAATTCAAAAGAATGAAGAGATTTCTGATAGGAGGTTTCCCCGTTTCTGGGCTCTACGCGGCATGAACCGAAATAGTTGGGCCAGCGGATGCATTCATGTCTAAAGGTTAAGGAGAAAAAATTCTATAAGGTTTTCAAAGAAAACTATGATGTGGACAGAAATCCTATATGAGGTCCAGGCTATGGATTATTGCGCTTATGCAAATGAAAGGGATGGAAAGGTGATGTAAATGTGCAACCCACCATATACCCTACAAGGAAAAAAATCACAAAGAAATAAGAACGACGTTATGTGGATAATTATCTTTGAATCTCTCAATAAAAACAAAGTCAAGGAGGAAGCAGGTAAATGACATCGTTTTTATGGAATTTATTAATTACTAGTGGTTACTGTTAGACCCTAACTCTTTGTCATCGGACGTGGCACGGCTGTGGCAAGGATATGGGCGTGATGGCCTTGTCAATGGCCTATGTGCGGGCAAAACGATCATGCGGGCGACGGACATGACATTGGCATTGAGGGCTGTTGTGGGCAAGTATTGGCCAAGGCCTTGGGACAGGCAAGGCGCGCTTGGCAAAGGCTTGATGAGGCAGCATGGGCAATGTTAGGGCGGCATGGCACGGCATGCGCGCCAAAGTCGGAGGCATGGCACTTTTGGGTTGTGGCAGCTAAGTGCGGGCTAAGCTAAGGCAAAGCGGGAAGGCAGGATGATGGCAAAGGCTTTCAACAGCTAAGGCAAGGCTATGTGAAGGAAAATACAACCAATGGCACGAGGGAAATGAAGGTTGACGTGGACAAGGCAGAAAACTAGGCCAAGGCAGTGCGCGGGCGGCAGCGGCGCCGGGCGTGTGCGGAAAAATCATGGCAGCGGGTTGCGGGCAAGACATTGGCGCGGAGCAATGTCAAAGTGAGATAAGGCTTGGCACAAAAGTAGGCCTTGGGCGAAATTCTGCTGGCCAAGTGAGGATGGCACATGCAATGCACATGGAAGGCAGTTTTGGTGGTTACCTTGTCTTAACTTCTTTGTCCCATGATCTGATCATGCTTGTTCCATTATCCATTTCGGGGTCGTTTGGTTGCCGGTTAGAGTTATGCAGGTATTAGTTATACATGTATTAGTTATGCAGGGATTAGTTATGCATGGATAAGTAATGCAGGGATTAGTTATGCAGGTATTAGTTATGCAGAGATTATTTTTTTGAATGTTTGGTTTGTTGTATTAGAAATTGATACACATTATATAAATTTTAAAGTAAAATGCTTGTTTACAACTATACCCCTGGCCTTCTTTTGCATTGTTTTTTCTCTCTTTCCATTTATGTAGGAAACAATTTAGTTAGGAACTTTGATGTTACTTTCACTTCTTCGTCATACTACTGAACTATGTGAAGTTTAGACATATTTGATTTTCACTTCTTAGTTTTGGTATTTCCATTTTCTAGTGGCTTCTCCAGTTTGCTTTTGCTAGTTTGTTCTTTAAAAATGAGAAAAGACAAGGTATATAGTTGGCAAGTGAAAGCAAGTGAAACCTGTTGACGGGTTGGCAGAGAAATAAGGAAGCCTTATGTGTAAAGTGATAGGGGTAAATTTGTCATTTCAGTATTTTATCCATGTATTACTAATACATGTATTAGTTATTCCATCTTCTACCCCGTATAAAATAATACACAGATTGACTCATAACTTATACATGTATTATTTATGCATAATTGAAAAATATCAACCAAACATGGTATTAGTTATGCAACATTTTATACAAAATAACTATTGCCTACCAAACATGGTATAAGTTATGTTACCCCTTATACATGAATAACCTTTCTTCTAACCAGCTACCAAACGACGCCATTAAGAGTAAAAGAAATTCCTTTATAGTAAATGGTGAGAATCAGGAGTTGAAAAATGAGAATGTCAAACTCAAATAAGTAAATGGTGAATACGCGTGGAAGAGGGAAGAGTATTACTGACAAAGACAAGAAGCCAACTCAATGGTTGAGAAAGAGAATTTGCTTCTGCAACTTTTTGCAATTAACAAGCTGAAAAAAGATCGGCAATTCTTGTACTACACGGATTTGTGTTGATACTCTTTGGAGTTTTTAGGGCTTGCATTCAATGTAGTTTTTAGTAAAGTACTTCCACTAATGCAGAACGTACCATTCACACTGCAGAATATGCATTATGCAACCTCTACTTTTGCCACTTGGAATAAAGTTGAATTTCCCTTTTGTCGCTTCCTTTTAAATGAGGTTGTATTTCGACATGTAATCATATTGGCTGGACTGAATGCGAACGTTCAAGAATGATATAAAAGACACGTGTTAAATTAACTAATTCCGTGCATAAGAAGAACAAATACAAAGTAATATTAGAGTGGCGTTGCATTTATTATTACTACTACTCATATTTCTCTCTTACACGCCCCTTAAGAAATATCAATTAAAAAATAAATTGGATTATTCTACCCTTATTTATATTTTAAGATATAATCTCTCTTCATTGAATATTTATTTTATTTATTTGTTATCTCTATCTTCAAGAATAACTATTACTAAGGGTAAAAAAGGAAAAAAATAATTAATTTTGTTTTGAACTTCTAAAATGACAAATAATTTGATACAATTATTTTGATAACCACGACTGTTAACATGAGATAGAGGGAGTATAATATCAAAGTACCATTGCATTTATTGCAACAAAGTCTTCTATTAGTAATTTTTTTCCTTTTACTAGTATTTCTCTAGTGTTAAGTACTCACACTTTTAAATTTATTCGTTTAAAACTTAATAATAATAGTTAAAAAGAATAATTTAGTAAAACAATTCCTTGGTAAATAATTTTGTTAAAGAGGTGCCAAGTTAATAAAGGAAAGCAATGTTCCTTCACTTCGCTACAAATCATACACTAAGGACCCATTTGTCCATAAATTTTTTTCTTTTTTTTCCGGAATTTTTTTAAAAACTTGTTTATCCATGAAATTTTTTAAGTTTTTGAAAAAATTTCGAAAATGAGTTTTTCAAAAATTAATTGATTTTTTTTCTCACTCATAAAACTGCAATTTTTTTTTTCAAATGAAATACATGTCTAAACATAATTTCAAATTTCAAATATCATTTTTCAACTTAACTTTTAAAAACACGCTACTAAATCCGTTACTAATTTCCAAGTAGAATAATTTAATATTATTGTTAATTTTTTTTAAATGGCTAAATAGAATAGCTACGTAAAAGTGGTAAATCCGATTTATGCTAGTACTCACCAATTATTTATCGTTATTAGGCTGAAGTCCATATCATAAGCAAGTAGGACTTTATCAAATCCGAAGAAATATTGATTTATTCATGGAGTAATCAAGTTGCAGCAGAATTTAATCCTACTGTAGAATCGGCACGTCTTGATTTATTGGTGTAGTAAAAATTATGTATTGTCAAATACAATTGTCATTTAGGAATTGACTTAGCAAACAAGTTGATATGACAACCCATCTTGTAAGAGACTATACACATCACTATCATCAATCAACTAGCATTTCCTTTTTTGTCTTTCTTGGGTGCAAATTTTCATTTGCACATACAAAACTACTGTTTTTCTTTTTCTTTTTAAATCAAAACTACTATTTTTGAAAAACAAAATTGTAAGGATTTTTTAATTTAATTCAATTTGTGTGAGTTTGCTTAAATTGCCATTTTTAAGCTCGGATAAAGGAAAATAGTAGCGGTAGGCTAAAACTAGCTAACTTAGAGTGAATTTTCAAAGTCGAATCTTCACACATCTAGAGTATTCTTTAAACTTGTTTAGGATTGAGAGGTAGTTGCTATATAAGAATTTGAACTTAACAACATAAGACATGCCACTAAATAAGCTAGGTGAAATTGAGTTAGTTAGGGTTTACCGTCACACCACTTTATGGGATAAGTCAATTACAAATTTTAAGATTGCAATTGAAAATTAAAGACTAGTTTGAGGGGGCAACACCATCATAATAATTATTTTTTCATTTTTTTATTCATGAGGGTTGAAGAGGGAAATTAGACTCATTCAGAACAAGTGCGAAATGTGAAGGGGGATAAAAACTTACCTTTACATCAAATTATACAAACTTACCGTGGTAAAGTAATTTTAATGTGAAGGGCTACCATGGAATTAGCAATTACAACGTAACGGACCAATTTGAATCGACACCACTATAGGACCTCGGGTTTTATTATTGTATAATATAAGGGCCCAAAGAAAAGAACT